TTTAAAATTGTGTTAAGTATATAACGTGTACCAACATAATTCACCACTATTCCAACAGGTACATCCCATCTGAATTGGATCTGTCGTTTCTTAAGCTCCTCAGCCAAAAAAGCAAAATCCTTTCTTTTTCTAAGAATTTTTAGAGGTATTTCTTTTAGAATTATAACATCTTGAGCTGCAATTTGAAATCTTTGCTTATAAAAAGCCTGTATAATTTCATTACGAAGTGATCTTCTGGAAAAATAAATAACCACATCTCTTGGTAAATTCCTCTGCCTCACAATCCATGAATTAACTCTAAAAAAAATTTCTATCTCTTTCAACATTTCTTCAAATTCACATCCCAAAATGGAGGCTAATTCTGCTGCAATTTCTTCTTTCAAATTATCTTGCACATTATCCTTCAACCCTCTTATTCTCAAAGCATATTCCATATCTCTGTATTGTGACATTATAATTTCATTCTGTGGTGCATCAACTTTTTCAACTCTGTCCTCTAATCTTTCAACACTTCCCACCACCTCATCCATACGGTCGTTGAGGCGTTCTACATGAGCTGCAAGTCCCTGGAGAGCCAGCACAATATCTTCTCTCATCTCATTATTTTTCTGCTCCAAAAGCTCTGCTGTCTCATGTTTATTCTTTTGTGCAGTTTTCTCCAAAGCATCCTGTAAAACATCCTATATATCTTTAAGTGTGAGAGCCTGAGATGGGGGGAGGGTGGAGGTGACTTAGGCTTTGATTGCTGAACAGTCTGGATAACTGGAGAAGAGATTGAGCTTTTAGGAAGAGAAGAAATTCCATGGCGTTTTGAAGCCATTTTCCAACTTTTCTTTTAAAAAAAAAGCCACTTCTTATAGCAAAATAAAATAAGGGGATAATAAAAACAAATCCCCCATACATAAGAAAAGAGAAACTAACTCTTTAAATAAGTAAAGTCTGTTACAAGTTTAAACATTGTTGCCAGATGAAAGTGAAAGTGAAAGTGAAAAGATTCCTCCGCCATTTTTTTCCTCCCTTCTTTTTTTTTTTAAAGTAATAAATGGAGAAGATATTACTTCTTTCTTGAGTTAAAGTTCCCATCACAATTCTGAGAAACTGGTTGCAGGCATTCTAGACAGGACTTGGGGTCCAAGTTCTCCCATTCAAGGTTTTAAGGGTTTCCCCAGTAGCCCACCCCATCATCCCCTTCTTCCAGTGACAGTCCCAGGCATTACATTCCCACCCCCTTTCTCTCACTGCTGACAGGAGGTAGACTTCAGAGAGGAGTACATGAAAGGTAATAGCCCCATTCTTATGGTTAGTCCTTTTGGTGGTATCCACATCCAGTCTCTTTGAAGTGTACTGAAGGAAGTGAGGGCCATAAAGCCCCTTTGTTCACCCCCTTCCCTTCATCGTATGACAGAATCCAGAGAAGGCAGGAATGGGGTTTTCCATAGTTGATAACTAGAGATGAAATATAATTGGATTCTGACAGTCAGCTTGGTGGGAGCAGAAGAAAACATGGCTACTTTCCCTAGCTTTTCAGTAGCACATCAAGAAGCTGAGCCTTTTATGGAGATGTTTGTCTTATGAACGTTGTTTTGAACCCTTATTAGGCTCTCCCTATGATTGGGGGTTGATCTTGATCTGTGTTCTGAATGTGGGCAGAGAGATCAGGGTTGTCATTGTGTCTGCTTGTTGGTACATGGTATTCATCAGTAGCAAAGAGTGGAAGAGCTCCACGCCATCACACTGGCTGGTCAGTAAGGGAATTTGGGGCCGACTCATTATGAAACTAATTTCCTCGGCTGCATCTTGGATGGATGTGGGTCTAGCAGGGCTGAATGCTCTCTCCCATTCCAGCTTCTCAGCTTGGACAACAGGATGAAAAATAGTTGTAGCATCTAATCTTGCCTCAGTCAGATCATCCCACCTAGACCACTGCTCTTGCCAACTGGGCTGTGGCTTCAGACATTGCTTCAGATCTGAGGAGTTCCACTTTTTCTTCAATTGGCAGCATTTTGAAAGAGTCCTTTGGTTGACCTTCTCGCTGCGAAGTATTAATCAAATTCTTCTTTGGGGCCATTAATACATTCTTCCCTTTTGTTCTACAGGGTTGCTTTATCAGTTGCTGTGCTGAGAGTCAAACTGTTTGCTTTCTGGAGTGGTCAGGCAGTAATGAGTGACTTAACTTCAGGTCTTAAGCAACATGGCTTGGGTAGAGTTCAAAAGAGGTCAGGAACAGGCTTCAAATTGAGCAGAATGCAATGCCCAACCCTTTCCCTGCTAAGAGCTGTGGTGGTGCAGCGGTAAGAATGAAGTATTACAGGCTACTTCTGCTGACTGCCGGCTGCCAGCAGTTCAGCAATTTGAGTTTCACGGGCTTAAGGTTGACTCAGCCTTCCATCCTTCCAAAGTGGGTAAAATGAGGACCCAGATTGTTGAGGGCAAGATGCTGACTCTGTAAACAGCTCAGAGAGGGCTGTAAAGCACTATGAAGTGCTTTATAAGTAACTGTTCTTGCTATTGCTAAGCCATTTTGTGCTGCAAAGATCGGCAAGGCTCCTGTGATGCCCAGCAGCCTTTACATGTGAGGGTTTAATGGACAGCTTTATTAAATTGGTCACAAAACCAAAGCTCTTCCTGGAGCTTTGACCCTCAGATTTGATCCGGGAATCCATGGGGTAATTGGGGAGGCTTCCTCTTGCTGGTGGAAACGTTCCCCCTAGTCAGCTTGCGGACAACTTGCCACAGCCAACTCACCACAGCCAACTCATTGCCGGACAACTTGCCATAGGACACTCGCTGTGGGAGAATTTAACAATTCTATTTAATTATTTAAAATAAATAAAAAATATTTTGATTTTTGCCATTCACATTTCATTCTGTCTATCATTTTGCATTCTTTCTTCAGTTATTCCATTATTTCTTTGATATTAGTCCTGTGGTGAGCTGGTTGCCACAGAGTTATCCTACAGCAAACTGACCACAGCAAGTTGACCGTAGCAAGGGGGCCTTGGTGAATTGTCACAGACTCATCAGCTTGGTCAAGCGATCCAGGGAGGAAGAAAGCCCATCCAGTTTCTCAGTGGTGGCAAATAATTCTTGGAAAATTGAAGTCCTAGTTTTAGCTGTTAATTGGCCCTCACTTGTCATCAAGTTGGCATAATTTGGTCAAGCAGAAGGTTGTTCAGAAATAGATTATTTATAAGATTTTAAGGCTACCCGTCTGAACAGCAGCTTTATTTAAAATCAAAGCTAGAATATATTATAGAATATAGAACTTATTAAATCAGAAAAAAAGATAACCAAGTGGGGAAATCAAGCACTTTATCAGCTAATCTACATCATTCAATGGGATCAATCAGAGCAACCCCCTCCGTTGGATTTATTGGATGGATAGAAACAACGAGAAAAAGGTGGACCTTTTGATCACCAAACCCATGAAGAATTTGATACGGGATAACCAACACTTTGAATTTCATCTGGAAACTCACTGATAAACACTGTAGCCCATTTAGCAGGTTTGTTACAGGGTGTTGTACTGAGGCATATCTGTAACTCTGCCATTGCCTTCTGGTCCAGTTGTAGCTTCCGAATGGTTTTCCAAGGCTGCATCATGTCGTAGAGCTCACTGCTTACCTGCAGGCAACTCTGAGAAGAGACCATTGCTCCAGGAAAGGGTACAGTTGATGCACTAGATGGATCTGGGCAACAGTCTTCCTGTGCTCTTTGGACAGAAGCTGAGACCAGGAAGGCCCCCAATCATGCCCCAAGGCCACCCCATTGAAGAATCTCGGTCACTGGCAGACCCAGGGCTGTCTGGGTTTGGCTCAAGCCAGTTCTTCCCATTCAGCCTCCTATCGATTGGCGACAAGGCCATGACTGTCTCACTTGGTGAACTAGGGATCAAGGTTGAGTTTCATCCGCTTACTGAGGATAAGTGACCCTATGTCAAGAAACCTCTTCCCTTAGCAGAAGAAGGCGAGAACGAGTAAGTTGAGGTCTGTGGCACCTTGCACGTCAAAGGCAATCTTTGGGTTTGACCTTTCCTCCCGTCCCTTAGCTGCTCCTTCCATACCATACTGAGCAGCTGCAGGGAGCCCTGTTGCTTTAAGGTCCCTGATACCCCACACGTTGCTTGACCCATTGTGTCCCCAACCCCAGTGGGGCTAGTGACATTCCTAGAAGACATTCCTCTTCTCCATGTCTGAAAAGCTCTCGGTGCAGGGAACGCAAAGCTCTTCACTGTCCAGCAGGTGGTCAGTTCCACAAGTGGCTTAACAGGTAGACGCTGCAATTGGCAGATGGAAGTTAGTTTTCCCATGGAGACAAATGGGCATCCTCTTTGCACATCTCTTTTGGCAAACATATCATTTCAGTCTCAGCTGTGTTTTAACACACATCTTGTGTAGATTTCCTAGGTATCCTTCGGTTCCATCAAAACATATAGCTTTATCGTGATAATTGCATTGCAATTCTGTGAGGTTGAACCCAAACTCGTAATATCCTTTTGTGCTTGTTCACAAAGTAAAAATTCTAGTGGTGTGATAGATTTTGAAAAAAATCAATATTAAAAGAGCAAATTTTAAACTAACTGTTGAAAGGGTGTTAATTTAACTTTAGCCCTAATTCTCTTTGGCAGCCAATTTTGAGGCAACCTGGTCTGTTGCCAGATTTATCTTCACTGGAACTGAAGTGCTTCAGGCAGGCAGGGATCCACCCCACTCTGCAAGTGGGCCACTTTCCAAGCTCGGGTTTAAAAGGTCAACGGATCACAGTTTGGATGCCCAGATTCTTGCAAGCAATCACAGAAGTGAGATTTCACACACAGTGCCTGCAAGTTTGCAAGACCTTTCACAAGGTTGCCGAGACATCGTAAGTGACCAACTGGATGCGAACTCAGGCGATTGCTGAAATGCGATTCCAGCGATTGGAGGAGCAGTCTGGAGCTCTTGCAACCCTTGCCTCCCCCCCCCCAACAGACTTTGTCATGCTTTTTTCTGCTTTCCTTCCAGGTGTTGATGGGGAAGAGGTCGGATGACCGCGGGGACTGTGGTCATCACCGGCGGAATATTAGCAACTGTCATACTACTGTGCATTATAGCTGTTCTCTGCTACTGCAGGCTCCAGGTACTGGGTTTACTTCATAACATGAGTTTTTTAAATTATTTTTTATTACACTTCTGTGCCTGGGATAGGGAGGAGCTGTTGTGTTACAAACATGCTCTCTCTGTTTTTCTTGGGATTTGGGGGAGACTGGTCCATTTGGCCACGATTTTGCATGGTCAGAAACTATGTTTGTGTAGTGGATGTGTGTCTGAGAGAGTGGGGGCTGCTGAGGAATGTGATTTCATACATTTATTGTATCGTAAGAGTTGCTCTTTCCCTGTGGAACCGTCTGCCCATGTGCTTCACTTGCCAGCTGCCAAAAGGTCTTGCACACTTGCCAAAAGCCAAGATTTTGACAGTGAGACTTGTTTTGGAGCACTTCTGGCAGTCTAAGGAATGCGAAAATTGGCATTTGCTGCTGCCGCTCACAGTCAAATGACCACATCAGAAAAAAATCAAACCCTTTTTGTGCAGAGCATCCCAGGTCGCCTCCCTGCTCCCTCTTTCATTTGCACAATCCGATGGAGGAGCTGCCCCTGAGCGGCTGGTGCAAGGCAGATGCTTCTCTTCCAGTGGTCTCTTCTGATCTTGTACAAGGTGCTACCTTTAGAAGACTCTGTTGAGGCAGGTCAGTTGGGGAGTTCCTTTTATCATTACAATTATGCAGCCACATAATTTGCCTGCTTCTCAGAATACACAAAAAGAGAGTCCCTCAGGCCAGTGGATGTGACGGGGGAAGGACGATCGCCAAATCCTTGACCCTGGAGGGTAGACTTAGAAATGGAAGACAAACTGGTCAACCTTGGTAGTTTTTGAAACTGCATTTGTACTTATGGTTTACAGCTGGGCAAAATAGTTTTCCAGAATAATCTGGAGCTAAGAAGGCCCACTACATCACCCTCAAAGTGCTTCTTTGATTAAGTTTCTTCTGCTGGGGTCAGATACCTTCAGAGAGAAGGACAAATGACTTGGAATAATCAGATCCTTGCTGTTCCTTGTGGCCTTTGCATCTCACATCTGAGGCAGAGCAGGAGTCTTTTGGATAAAGCTGAAGGCATATGATGATAGGGCCCAAAGATGTGGCTTGTTTCTGCCGAGCAATCCAGATGACTAGGCTTAGGCGAGAGATCAAAAAAAGATGCTTCCCAAGCAAACTCTGACCTTAGCGAAGAGACCAGAAGGCCCAGTACAATCCCTGGGAAGACCACAGAATGCAGTCGGCAGTTAATAGCAAATCTCAGAGAAGGGCATGGAATAGAGAATCCTGTGTTACTATGAAAACCAGTCTTTGTGTTGGGCAAAAAGGACATTTGGTGCCCTGCTCAATAATATAAATAGCTTGGGCCAGCTCAGTCAAGAAGGGAGGGGAGAGGAGGAAGAAGCAAGAACTGTGTGCTGGTGGAGAATATTTGGCTCCCAGATGAGGAGAGGAGAATTCACCAGGATCCAGCTCCAACAGAGGATTCTCATCCTCTAGAACAGTGTTTCTCAACCTTGACCATTTTAAGGCACGTGGACTTCAACTCCTAGAATTCCACAGCCAGCATTGCTGGCTGTGGAATTCTGGGAGTTGAAGTCCACATGCCTTAAAATTGTCAAGGTTGAGAAACACTGCTCTAGAATTAGTCAGCTGTTTTGAGTCTGGAAGAGGTCTCCAAGCATCCTGCAGTGCTCCCTGGGCCTCTCAGCACATCTGATGCACCTTGGGCCTCCTTCTCTTCCATGGTGCTTTTTGTGCCCTGACTGCCTGAGACGCAAATTTGTCATGTGCAAGGAACATCCTCCGGCAATGATAAGTTAGAAGCCAGCAATCAGAAGAAGCTCTCTGTGTGGAAATCATGTTGATGCCCAAACCAGCAAGATTTGTCCCATGGTGAGTGGGGGCCTCCAGCAGTAAGAGGACTACCACTCCACCCCAGAGAGATGCTGCTCAGGCCACTTCTGGGCAGACACTTCAGGAGATTTGATCTTCCAGATTAGAATTTAAGAACAGGGGTGGATCCTGGAAAGTTGGGATGTGCTGGGGTCAGCCATGATCCCCAAATAGGACACGTGAGGCTTTTATCCACAACTGCAGAAGCCAGAGAACCTCCGTCTAGGTGCTTCACTGGAGGTCTTGCCTTGCCAGGCTTGGTCTTCAGGACTGGACAGGCTGGGAACATGGCTGGCACCAAGGACCTTGCACTAAACGCATTTAAATCTGGGATTGGAGTCAGATCAAGCCATATAAACTGTAATTTCTTCACACACTTGGGCCATGGCATTTGTGGTTTTATGGCAAGTTTATTGCTTTCAGAAGTTGTGCGTGCTCTATCACTGGAGGTTTTCAAGAAGAGACTGGACAGCCATTTGTCCAGAATGGTATAGGGTGTCCAGATTGAGCAAGGAGCTGGATTAGAAGACCTCCAAGGTCCCTTTCAATCCTGTTATTCTATGTCAGAGTCTTACAACCTTTCATGAAGTAGTCTCTGAGCATGGGCAAATTCCAAATGGGGAAAATTAGGAATGAAACTACAAAAGATTGAAAACATATAGAAAAAAGCAGAAAGCAAACATTTAGCACTAAAGAAAATCTATTGATGTGCTATGCATAATGCAGAAGTTTACCAAGTTTGAGGGGAGGGAGGAAGCAATGGATCAACTGCAGGGAAGTCCAAATATTGGAGGGCAGAAAAATGGGCACCCAACAGGAAAGGCAAAATACAAAAAGAGCAAATATTCCAAGTTGGAACCTTTCTAGGGAGGATTCCTGAGGTTCATCTTCTTGAGGTAGAGAATTCCTCATTTGCTCATTCATTTCCTATCCTCAAAAGTGAAAAAAAAGAGATCAAGGCAGTAAAATGGCAGTAAAATATCTAGAACATTCTGAACCGCTAAATTAAAGCCTAGGCGTATCCACAGTACAGGAACTGATGTGTAATGCTTGCATTTAGAATATATAATATAGCTCAGTGGCTTCAAGAATATAATAATATATAATATAATATAATATAATATAATATAGTAATGTAATGTAATAATATAATAATGTAATGTAATGTAATATAATATAATATAATAGTAGAGCAGAGCAGAGCAGAATTGAATAGCATAGAATAGAGTAGAATAGAGTAGAGTAGAATAGAATTGGAAGGGACCTTGGAGGTCTTCTAGTCCAGGTACCTACTCAAGCAGGAGAACCTATACCATCTCAGACAAGTGACTGTCTAGCTTCCTTAAAAACCTCCAGTGATGGAGCGCCTATGAGTTCTGGAGGCAAGCTGTTCCACTGGTTAATTGTCCTCACTGTCAGGAAGTTTATTCATGTACAGATGTATAAACTAAGCAGGTTGAGATTCTTAGGGTCAGGAAACCCATCAGCTGGTTTGTGTGTGTGTGTGTTGGGGGGGGGGAAACACCAGCAATATCACCTGCATGCAAAGATGTTCAGTTAAAAAAAGGTAAAAAACATGTGTTTAATTACTAAAAGCAATTAGATGGAATGCTGGCTGAATAAATACTGAATACTAAATATTGAAAGAATATGGTTAATTGACAACATAATCCCATGAAAAATTTCTAAAAACTCATGGTAGAGTGACTGAATTAGCCTATTTTGTGGTTTTGCTAAATACAGTGAAACATAAAATCTTTGTGCATCAAATAACAGCTCCTTATGACATTTAAATTAACTCTGCTTTAGCGCATTGCATAAATACAGCCTTCAACTGTCTTCTAGTTAAGAATTGCTAAGATTGCAGCTTTGATTGATTTCAACTTGATCCTACAATCTGATGGGATTCCACCTTTTGCCAATGTAAGAATTCACTAGGGTTTCCAACTTGCCTTGGCTAACTTGCCGTGGGACAACTCGCCATGGTCAACACATCACAGGACAACTAGTTGCTGGACAAAAGTTACACTAATATCAAATAAATGGTGGAGTAGAATCATTAAAAAGGGAATGCAAAAGGAGGGATAGAATGAAATGTGATTGACAAAAATTAAAATATTTTTTGTTTATTTTAAAATAATTACATAGAATTAAATTGTTCTGCAGTGAATTGTCCCATGGCAAGTTGGCCGTGGTGAATTGGCTGTAGTAAGTTGGCTGTGCGAGTTGTCAGAAAGGCAGGTGATCCTGGGACACTGCAACCGTCATAAATGAGTTGACTGTTTTCCCCTTCCCTCTCGCTTGAGCAGGGGGTTGGATAAGAAGAACCCCAAGGTCCTCTACTGGCAGGGCTGGGGTGCCAGTGACGTAAGGTCTAATTGTGTGCCCCATTGCTGCAAGGAGGACCTCCTGGCTAGACCTGGCCAGGAGAACTGCTTTGGAAGCAGTCTCGGTCTGCAGGTTGTTCAGCTGAAAGCTGCAATCAGGAGGCTCATGCTTGGAAAAGAGCATGACAAAAACTGGGGAGAAGAGAAAAAGGAACAGGGTTCAATTGCAGGGCAAATTCCTGGAGCAAGTGGGTAAGACTGAGATCCCTCAGCCTATCCACCGTGAGCTTTACGGTGAAGGACTGAGGAGGCTCCCTGTAAAGCCCTCCTCCCTCCTCTCCCATGCTGTTAGCTGCCCTGAGATGGCCAACAGATTTAAGTTGGAAAACCAAGGGCTGCTGCCCTGCAAATTAGCCCCGGTGGGTCCAGGAAGACCTGCTTTTGCCAATTTGGGTTGCCTGCTGCGGTTAGATAGATAGATAGATAGATAGATAGATAGATAGATAGATAGATAGATAGATAGATAGATAGATAGAGCTCTATTTCTACTGGCTGCACAATGTGGGACCTGACGTTGCTCTGATCTGGATCTTCTGGAATCAACTGAAAATTATCCACAGGAATTTTCCAACCCAAAAAGGGAGATGATGTTACCTAGTTTGGTAATGAAATGGCTGCAAGAGAGTCCGACAGGTCCCAGAGAGCCCCAAGGACCCCAAGGTGAGAGGTCTCAGTGTAGGAAGGTACAGGGATGGGGTCTAATGGGCATGACTGAAACCTGATGGGATGAAAGCTCAAAGTGACCCTGGTCTACTAGGTGTAAAAGGCCTAGCTGAGGAGGAAGGTGGTATGGAGGCTGCATGCAAGAATTGTAGCCGAGGGAGGACCCTGAGGGCCTTGGCTGCCCCAAGGGAGGAGGCTACAGGGGAGAGTCTTAGGGAGGTTGCCAGGCCGGGCCTCCTGGGAAAAGAGGAGGGGGCCACTGCAGACTAGTCCTCTTGACGCAGACCCTAAACACCCTTCTGGGATGTGTTATTAAGCAGGTGATTGTGAGCAGTTATTTATTTGATTTGTTTATTTTTTACATTTTTGAACCCAGCATCTCCCTCAGATTTAGAATAGAATAGAATAGAGCTGGAAGAGACCTTGGAGGTCTTCTAGTCCAGCCCCCTGTTCGAGCAGGAGAACCTATACCATCTCAGACAAGTGGCCATCCAGTCTCTTCTTAAACACCTCCGGTGATGGAGCGCCCATGATTTCTGAAAGCAAGCAGTTCCCCTGGTTAATTGTCCTCACTGTTAGGAACTTTCTCCTTAATTCCAGGTTGCTTCTCTCCTTGATCAGTTTCCAACAATTGTCTTTCCCTCTGGTGCTTTGGAGAATAACCTGACCTCCTCTTCTTTGTGGCAGCCCCTCAAATACTGGAATACTGCTATCATGTCGCCCCTATTTCTTCTTTCCTTTAGACTAGCCAGACCCAAATCCTGCACTGCGCCACTTAGTAGAAAGAGGCAGTTGAGTCCTGACCCAGCATAATTTGAAATTATTCAAGACAGACCGTGGAAGGAGTGAGGAAACAGCCCATTGAAGCAGAGCACGGGCACTTTTGTCCTTGGTGAATGCTTGGAGGGGGTGTTTGTGCCACAGAACCCAAACAGCAAGAAAAAGGAGCAGATGTCCCCTTTTGCAATCCCCCACCTTGCCTAAGCGCCCCCCCCCGTTTCTCTGGCTCCTGCTGCACTAGGCAAGCAAGACGCCTTCCTATGCTCATCCCTGGGATGAGAGACCTCCTTCTCTTTCGCTGACTTAGAAAGTGGCTGAAAAAAAACCTTTTATGGCTTTTGGCACTTAACTGTCCTGCTGGTGTCCTAAGAGGGATTTAAACTTCTCTTTCCTTCTGGTTAGATTGATGGCTTCTCATTTTCAGCTCATTGGTCAGAGTTTTTGTGCAACCACTTTATTTTTGAAGATACTGTCCCTTTTTTTTCTTTAGTCTGCTCTTTTTTTAAAAAAGGCACTTACATTTAATTTGTTGGGAGCAGAAAAATTGTTTTGTGCTTTATAATGTGCTGCGATTGTTTAAAATGTCTTTGTCATGGTGTCAATGTGTGAGAGTGACAATGATTGCGGATTTCCACAAACTAATCCAGAGTTTGCTTATCCAACATGAGCAGGCCAAGTTCACACACGGTAGAAACTGCAGTTTGCAAATGCCAGTGTCTGAGTTGCCCATTGTAGCAAGCCCAGTCCAAACCCACTGCCTTCTGGGTAAGTACCGTGTGTGAACCAGTTCCCTGGGAAGGGTTTCTGTGAATGTCGTGGAGAAGCACATCTTGGCCTGGGGAAGGAGTGGCGGCCCACATAAATTGTTTCTCTTCCAGTACTATTGTTGCAAGAAGGATGAGTCGGAAGAGGACGGCGACGAGCCCGACTTCCCTGCAGATTCGCATATCCCCCCCCTGCACTGCAACCGCAACGTGGCTCTGACCAACGGCCCTTCCTTGTACCGCTCCCCCTACAAGGAGCCCTCCCAGTCCCGGACTGGCTGCCCCAACTGCTCCCAGTATGAGCCTCCAACGTTCTTCCTGCAGGAGCCCGAAGAGGAGGTCCGCAATGGGGGCGACCTGGTCAATTACAAGGCCATCAGCCAAGAAGACCTGGAGCTGCCCATCGGCTTGAGCGGCGGCCTCCAGGCCCTCAACCCCAACCGACTCTCCGCCATGCGTGAAGCCTTTTCCCGCAGCCGCAGCATCAGCACGGATGTCTGATCGGCCTGGCCCCCTCAGCTCCAGGCTTGGCCAAAGGCTGAAGGTACTTCTGCTTCCCAGCCTCTTCCTCTCTAGTCTTGTATAAATGGGGCCAGGAGCACGGCTGTCTTAGTAGAGATATCAGTTTTCTAAACCCCGGTAAAAGCAGCTCTTCCTTTCTTCCTGTAGGTGGGTTTTTTGATACAGGACATCCTTTTGTATGAATGTGCAAACTGGTTTGCCACTTTTCAGCCTGTGCAAGGTGTTGCCTCTGCTTTCCCTGATTGGGGTGGGGGTGGGGGTGTAGGAGGCTGGAACTGAGCCAGAGCCAGATGTGTCTTTGCAAATTGCTTAGTGCAAATCCAACTATTCCCCTCTTTTCTGCAGTGTCCCCACCATCCATTCAGTCTAGTCTATGAAATCCACCCCGAGGCCTTCCTTTCCCCGCTTGCTGTCGAAGAGGTATTTTTTAATATGACAGAAGAAACGTACCAGAAATGTGGCAAGGACTGCTGTCCACTAGGTTCAGCTGAGATGAGCTCAGCTTTAGTTTGATTCTTGCTTGCCTCTGCCGTGCTGGTCCTAGCCTACTTTTTGTTGCTCAACTGAGGACCATGAAAGTGTTTGGGTGGCATCTGTGAGGGGGGGGGAGGACTTTCCCATTTTTGAACATGACGTTGCCTGCTGCAGGACTTCCTTTATCTCACCTGCAACCAAAAGCATCAGTGTTTTTGCCAACCAAACTGAAGACGACTGCAGTGCTCTGGGCCCCAGGCCTCTTGTGCTTTCTTCTATTCCAGCTTCCCCCCCGAGTGTCCAGGAGGCAGATGCATGGGGAGGGTAGGCTCCTGCGGGCCCAGAGGCGTTCCTTTTCTTTGGGACAGACAGGCTGCAGCTTGGAGCTCTCAGAATTAAAATTTAGTGGAGCGACGTTCATAATGGTGACCTATTAGGGAAGGCAGCTTCCTCAAAATTGGAAAGTCTGGCTAGATGGGATATCAGCTGGGAGACAGACTTAAAAGACAGCAGGTTGGACGGCCTTCAGAGATGGAGGAGGCTAGTCCACCCCACTGCTCCCCCAGGCTTTTGGATCTGGAGGCAGCAGAGGGATGGAGACCACCCATGGTGCCCAAAGGAAAATGATTCCCCTGTAGGATCTGACAGTGTGTTCAGGCAGCTTGTAAAACTGGCATTCCCAAGTCACGTACTGGGGATGAAGGGAAAACAGACCTGTGGCAAGTTTGGGTTCAACCTATTCAAACTCCTCTGGAGCGGGCACAGGGCATGAGAGCCCAGGAGGCAAAGGAGCAGAGACGAGCCAGTAGCATCATGGCTCAGCCTGTCCCATGAAATGGGATCCAGGTGGACTTCTTCCATCTAATTGGAGATTAATTTTCATGTCTTGCTCTGGCTGCATCCAATAAAATGCATTCATGTTGGTCTTCAGTGATCTGTACTAGTTGCTGCTTCCACAAAACTATTTTGTATAATTCTTAAAATTTGTATTGGTTTCAGTGGCACTCTTAAAAATGCTACAATTTGTTGCTTTTAAGTATGCTATTTATTTTCCCCTTTATATATATTTGAAATAAATTCAAACTATTTCATGAATTTTCATTTACCTTTACTTGTGATAAACATGTATAGGACTTCTGGATTACGAAAATAAAAAAAAAAACTTACCTGACTTGTTACCAAAAGGAGTGTTTCTTTCATGGTATTTAAGAAAAATTTTTAACACCTTTAAGAAAAAGCGGGTGCTCTGTCCTTTTTATGGCCCACAAACACGAAGGGGGCAAAAGCGGGATTTTTAAAGCTGGGGATTTAAGGAATGGGGGCACCAATTTCTCCTCTTAAAATTCCTGTCTCTCCCACCCAGCCTGGCCCTCCTTTGGAACGTGGCCTTGAGATGCCACAGCCTGCCCAGTGTGGAGCCCCTTTCTGTGGCACCTTCTCAGGATGGTTTCCTTTTGAATTGAATTGAATACTCTATGTAAGGACCCACCCCACTTTGCATCTTAAGAAGACAGAACTCTTGGAATAATTCTTCCAACAGGAATCCTTTATTAAGAAGAAGTGGTTGCAGGCATGCTAGACAGGACTTGGGGTCCAAGCTCTCCCATTCAAGGTTTTAAGGGGTTCCCCAGCAGTCCCACCCAATCACCCCCCCTTCCAGTGATAGTTTCAGGCATCACAATTCCACCCCTTTATTCCTTCTGGATGGAGACTTCAGATAAACTACATGAAAGGTAAATAGCCCCCTTTGTTATGGTAAGGTTCTTTGGTGCTATTTACATTCAAACTATTTGAGGTTGCAATAAACACATTCAATTCCTTAGAAGTATACTGAAGGAAGTGAGGGCCATAAAGCCCCTTTGTTCTCCCCCTTCTCTCCCTCTTATGGCAGAAGCCAGAGAAGGCAGAATTGGGGTTTTCTATATTTGATGATTAAAGATGAAATATAATTGGATTCTGACACTCTATTTGACCAAGTGTGATTATACACACAAGGAATTTGTCTCCGGTGCAGAAGCTTTCAGTGTGCATGCAAAACAGAATAATAATAATCTTAATGATACCAATAAGAGGGGGTGGTAAAGAAGATAGAAATAGAGCTGGAAGGGACCCCGGAGGTCATCTAATCCAGCCCCCTGCTCAAGCAGGAGAACCTACACCATCTCGGACAGGTGATTGTCTAGTCTTTTCTTAAAGATCTCCAATGATGGAGCACCCACGATTTCTGGTGGTCAGCTGTTCCACTGGTTGACTGTCAGGAAGTTTCTCCTTAATTCCAGGTTGCTTCTCTCCTTGATCAGTCTCCAGCCATTGTTTCTCGTCTTTCCCTCTAGTGCTCTAGTGAACAACTTGACCCCCTCTTCTTTGTGGCATAGTTGCCATTCTCTGAATTTTTTCAAAACTTCAACATCTTTTTTGTGATACGGTGACCAAAATTGGCTGCAGTATTCCAGTTGTGGTCTTACTGGGGCTTTCCAAAGCGGTACTAGTACTTTGCATGATCTTGATTCTATGCCTCTGTTATACAACCCAGGATTGTATTAGCTTTTTTGGTTGCTGCTGTACATTGCTGGCTCATAATCAAGTGATCATCCACCAGGAGTCCAAGATCCCCCTCACAGTTGCTATTTTTGAGCCAGGTCTCGCCCAATCTGTATTCGTGCCTTTGATTTTTCCTGCCTAAGTGTAAGACTTTGCTTTTCTCCACATTGAAATTCATTTCAATGTGGAGAAATGCCCATCTTTTTGCATGCTGAGTTTGTCCTCTGGGGTGTTTGGCTACTCCTGACAGCTTGGGGTCATCTGGAAATTTGATGAGTTCTCCTTCAATAATAAGAATAGTAATACTTCTACATGGACATTAGACAGTACTGAGAATTAGATGTTCAGCAGAATAATGTCATGAAAGAAAAAAACTGTGTCTAGTTGTTTTGGCATGCAATGCCCTATAGCACCATCCCAAGAGGAGGAGTTAAACCAGTTTCTGTCCAGTATGTGAGGAATCTGTAAATATTTTCTCAGCCCTTCTTCTGACATATACAAGTCTTCTATGGGAGGCAAGCTGGTTGCAATTGTTTTTTTCTGCAGTCCTAACTATCCATTGGAGTCTGTGCCTGTCCTGTTTGGTTGCTGTACCAAACCAGACACTTATAGAAGTACAAGTGATAATTCCTCTGTAAATGTGTATCTGAGCTGATGCAGGAAGAACATTCTTTGTTGTGCCTTTTTAATGATGGTTCTAATTTTAGGTGTCCATTTCAAGTCCTGGGAGATTATAGAACCCAAAAACTTGAAGGACTCTACTGCTGATACTGTGCTGTCAAATAAAGTCAGAGAATAGTTCCCATTTGCCAAAACAAATGGAAAAAACTTAACAAGGATTGAGCTGTCACCATAAATATCAGAAAACTTATTTAACAGACACTTACAAGTACCATTCAACAGTAAAAGGGATAAAGTTTATTATTTTGTAAACAAATACATTAAAAAAGAGCCCAGGGCCCTTTTGGGTTATAAAGTGCAGTTATGTTTTCATTATCCTATACAATATGCTGGCATTATGTATTTAAGAGTTTGATTATGAGATAAAACACTTCTGCCAGATGTGCACTTACATGTTATATTTAGTAGACTTTATTACCTGTCCTTTGTTAATTTATATTTACTGCTGAGTGAGAATAAACATACAGTGCCTAAGCTTGAAATGATAGGGTTTTTCTGCCTTTAATGATTTTATTGTCATTTTGGTATTTAAAACTGATGCAGACTTCATTCCCACCAATTTTCATTTATTTCAATAAAGTGTAAAATGGATGTGTCTCCTCCTCAAATATTCTTCATTGTAATACCTGTGGCAATTATTAACTGCAGCTGGAGAGAAGGGTTCAGCATACCTTTTATTTGGGGTATCTCTCTGCCTTGAGGGGACAATGAGACTTTTAATGGAGAGAGGCAGAAGGAAAGAGCCAAGGCTGTGGGGGGGGGGGCATTCTGATTTAGGCCCAGTCCTGCAATGAGCGATGTGATCATTAACAGGAAAGCGAGAGTTTTGCCCCTCCCTCAGCCATTCTGGCAAGCTTTGAACTGAGCAGAGGAGGCAAGATTTGAACTGGCAAGCAGAGGAGGCAAGTGCGAGGAACAGTGGGGAGGACAAAATCACTGGCAGGAGGGGAGTCATGTATAGGTAGATCAAGAATTTGCTAAATGAATTAAAAGAAAAATCCAGAATTCTGCAGGCGATGTTGGTGGTCCAACCCATCGCGGCTGGAGGAAGATGAGAAGCGAGGACCACGAGGTGATACCTAATGGTGCTGAGCTCCAGTTGCTCCTCGGGCACGGGACCCCCACGCCATTACGCCCCCTAGGAACGGGGCACTCGGCAGGATCGACAGCAGGCCTTGCTGTAGTACCAGTGGCCACAGAGGTTCACCTTAATTGCTAGAGCACAGTTGGTCCCCACCTGGTCCTGGCAACTGTCATCTGTGGGAGGACCACAAGATCAGGGAGGTCATCCAAGGCAAGAGGGAGAGCCGCGCCGAGCCCCAGTCCTGCCCCAGAGCCAGCCTCCACCCTGTCTGCCCAAGTGCAGCCGCATCAACCTTAATCACCCACACAGAATCAACCCCACCACATTGCTTGAAGGGTGGGATGGGGCAAAGAACTGGAGGCTTTCCTGAACCTTTGATTTGCACCCACACTGACAAAATGATGCAAACAAAATATTTCCGCTAAAATAACATTCCTTGAGGGGAAGGTGCATTTTCTTCCTGAAAAAGAAAAGCTCTTAGCAACCCTCCTACTGAGGTTGCCCAAAGAATTCCAAGTTCCACGGAGGAGCTGGGTGTCCCCGCTTCCTCCAGTTGAGGTCAGCTTTAGTCTGCTTTTGCTCCTGGCTGTCTGCCTCCTTTCAGCTGCTCTCTCCTCAGGGAGAAAGGAGGGTGCCCTCCCTCCCCCTCAGGCGACTTGGCCCCTCAGAAATCCCTCTCCACCACAAATTTCCAGGAAGGCCTTCTGGAGGGGGCCAGCCAGACTTCTGGATCCTCTTCTGGAAAGGAGAGACTCATGGAAGGTTGTGGTGCAGTCAGATCAGCGTGAGGACCAGGAAAGACAGACATGGGGCTTCCCAGCACTGGGGCTCTAACATCACCGGGCATGGCTCTCTCACGGCATTTAAGCTCTCCCCCTCCCCCTTGTCTGCCAGGCATCCCAGCTAACCTGGTGGTTCGGTTGGGCAGGGATGGAGGTCACAGGTCTGCTTTGCAACTGGTTTCAGGAGTGGGTCACACCCACGCACAAGATCCTCCCCTTGGTAACACTTGACGTCCCGCATCCTCAGGCCAATTCCACAGGTTTTTGTGCACTGGGAGGTGGGAACAAAAGCTCTTTTAGCCATTTAAGCCAACCAGAACTATTCAAAAGGAGTTCCAGCCCTTCAGAAAAGCTGGCAGACCAAGGAAAGAGGAGGAGGAAACTAGTAGTTTTGCAGCTGTTTAAAATATGCTGCAGTTGAGCCAACATCCCATCTCCTGAGTTCTTGGCTGCAGTCAATGGGCGCTGGTTTCAAATCGGCAGTGTCCTAATGCAGAGAGCCCAGGAGAAAAATCCCACCCCTAGCCCCACCCAAACCACCTGGGGGAGGGGAGGTGCATCTCCACATTTCATCTCTCAGGAGTTTCATTTATTTTATGGGAATCTAAGAAATTTGCTCGCTGCTCTCAATGTTCTTGACTCAGCACCCCACAGCTTCCTCCTCTATGCTGCAGTGAGGAGGAGGGGCGACAGTCGTGAGTGACAACAGGGACCATCTGCCCCTTTGCGCTACCTATTTATAGCAAATGTCAGAACCCATATTACTGAGGTGGGGGACTCTCTTCTATTTCTTCCTATTTTCTTACTACGGGTTCTGCCATGCTCCTGAAGGGGAAGGGGGAAGACGCTGTGGGCTGTCTCTGTTTCACTACAATGTCTCTCTCCCGGTGCTTCTGCATATTTACTCTTTGAACTGTCTCTCCCTTGATGTTACCTTGCGGAGGGGGGGAGAAAGGAATATGCCTCTGGCCATCTGGCTTATCTCCCGTTTTGGAAGGGAAGGTGCGAAGACCCAACAACAATGCTGCGAGCCTGGGAAAGACCTGTGTTATCACCTCCTTTCTCACAACGGACTTAACACCTGAGAATTGGCTCCTTCAAACTGACTGGATGAACTGTTGGGGTGGGGTTTGCTTGGGACTCTTTTAACCTATTGGTCTGAGCGGGAAACCCCCAGATCCTGCCTATTATGCCTGCTATCAGTTTCTCCTAATAAAAGTTCCTTTGGGAAGAAACTGCTGTCACGAGTCTTGCTTTCTTAGGATGAGGTTTTGAAGTGGGCCCTGACAGCAAGGCCTGCCCTGCTTTCACAGGAGCATTTGCGGCAGAGGAGACCCGGGGGAGAGGGATGTGCTGGGGGCATCTCTGCTGTCAAGAAGCCTCCCTGCCTCTGGGCAGCCTGGCGAGAGCTGCGGGAGCGCCTGCCAGTGACCAAGTGAGCCACTGCAGCCGCTGGGCCAAGGTGAGCCTCTCACAGTCTGGAGCATTAGGCATAAAACCAGCTGTGCTTTCTTGGAAACCCCGGAGATGTGAGATCCTTGAGGGTGGGAGTGGACATCAGGTTCCGGGCAGGGAACTGTCCAGGGGTTCATTAGTCTTGAAACATGAGGGGCATTGGGGTGGCCAGTTGCAAACTTTCCTGGTTCTTAAATTCCCATGGCTACTAAAAAGCCCCCCACTTAGCTCTGCCCTGCACAGGACAGCAGAACCCCGTAGAGGCATTCTGAAGAAGTATGGTTCGCTGGGGGAGGGGGATCCGGGGGGGGGAGAACCAGAATCCAGTTGGCTGGTTTGGCCACAGCAGATCAATCGCAGCCACCCTTTCCTTTGGCTTTGTATCCCACAAATTGAGTCACCCCAGGACAGGTTGATCCTCTTTCGGCCAAAGGGCCACCACCTCCTGGTTGCTGATGGCATTCTTATCTCACATTAGGGTCCTGTGTGCCACGGAGGTATTTTCACAATCCTCTAGAGGAGGAGGCTAGTGTTACCAGAACCAGAAGCCTCCAGGCTCTCACCTCAGACCAAGGGGTGGTGTACCACTTGAAGCAGGGGCGCTCAAAGCAGGTGGCCTCCTCAGCCTCCTTCTTGGTGGTGTCACATGCGGTAGGTGGGCGGGTTTTGATCTTCCCACTGACAATTTCCAGGCAAAGAACCGTCCGCTTCTTCACCCCTCGGCCACAGGTGGCGTTGCACTGCCGGAAGAAGGAAGGATCCAGACCTGGCCTGGGCAGCCGAAAGCCCCAAGAACCCTCTCCAGGGATCTCTTACCCGTTCCCAGTCCTGGGCCAGCCAGCCAGCAGGGCAGCTCTTCTCCCCGCAGGGGTGAATGGCGAGCGGCTTGGCTTCAGGGTTGCACTGGGACTCTGGCACCACGCGCCCGTCGCTGCTCTTGCAGTAGACCTGCCGGATCATTCGGCCTGGCCCGCAGCCCCCACTGCACTGTAAGGGAGAGAGAAGGGCAGAGGCATACTTAGGCACGTGTCTTGTGAGGGCAGCCAGCTGGGCAGCCACCACCGGCCCTGCCCTGGCAGAGAAGCAAGAGAAACAACTCAAGGCCCTCTTGGCCACTGAAAAGGTGATTTTACAGTTTTGTAAGTTTCCCCAAGCTTTCTCTGTGTCTGCGTGCCTGCGCAGAATGAAAAAGATAAATGGGATGAAAGAAAAAAGCTATTCAGAGAAACTTGGATACATAGGACACCAGACCCCAACCTTTCGGACACCAGGGACTGGTTTTGGAAGAAAAACTGTCTTCCATGGAGGGATGTGTGTGTGTGTGTGTGTGTGTGTTTTCGCATGGAACCTAAATCCTGTGCATGTGCAGACGAAGCTTCACCCGCTTTCCTGCCGCTTGCACAGCACAGTTCCCAACAGGCCATGGACCAGTATTGCTCTGTAGCCCAGGTGTTGGGGACTCCTGAGCTAAGATAAGTGCTACCCAGGCAGCTGCATGCAGCACATTGAAGTAGCAGGGCTGAATCATAAAATCCTAGTGCTGCAAGGGACACTTGAGGCTATCCAGTGCACCCCTCGGGGCAGGAATCCAGGACCATCTGCTTTATCACAGGACAGCTGCCCCCCCTCCCCCATTTGTTGGCTTCTTGGCTTCACTGCCAAACTCCTGGCCTGCTGGGAATCTGCTTTCCTGTGGGAAGAAATGCCAATGTTTCAAAAGGGATGCTATAAAAAATGCTAGAAGATCAGGATGTTTGAGGCCCTCAGAGTTATTTTGATGCATGGAGACTGCCTGGCCCCAAAGCCAAAATTCAAATGACTTTGTTTTGTGGAAAAAGGAAGGAAGCACTTTGGGGCTGCAAACCGGATGCTAATTAACCAGCCCCTGCTCTGATCCAGAAGGCAGGCCCGTTCCACATGTTGTGACCCACACCAGCCTCCCCCTCGCAGCTCCTGCAAATATCCCAGGCCTGTCTCCTGGTCAGCAAGTTCCTTTTCTACTCAAAAGATTTACCGGTCCCCAGTCAGAGACTGTCCATTGCCGGTCACAGGGTGGCCCTGTGCAGTTCTTATCGGTCACTGGCTTGGTTCTGGTGTCACACAGCCTCTCTTCTTCAGAACAGCGGATGTCTCGGCTCACCATACTCCTCTCACCACACTTGGCTGTGCACTGGAGGGGGAAGGGTAGGGAGAGTCAGGTATATGGCAGGCCGGAGAGGCTTGACCTCTGCCCCTAAGAAGAAGCGTAAAAAAGCAACTCCCCCAGAAGCTGAATCCCAGGATCGACCTGAAGGCCCAGTTCACCTCCAAGGGGGCCTTTCGCTTTGGGGTTCTTTGCAAGCTGAAGGACAGGAATCAGACCTTTTTCTGGGAACCCTCTGAATACTTATTCAATAAATCCTTTCTGGTTTTTCATCTGCCTATTGCTTCTTGGCTCCTGGGTGGCCATTGGCAATAGCAGGGGTGCCAGGAGTTAATTCCAGTGGGAATGGGTGCTATTGCCTGGGAGAGACATTTGACATGTTTAGGAAGTGAGTGAAGAGGTTTTAACAAGTCTCCAGCAGCAGAAAGGGAAGTGAACATAAAACTGAGGAAATGATTTGGAATGAAATCTAAGCAAAGAGGTGGCGAGCGCTTGGGGGTCAATGGTGTCCAGCAGCAGCCCCAGTCTGCCGGCCCCTTGGCACAGCACAGGTAAGTCTGAGCGTGGAGGCAGAGGCAGGGGGGAAGGCAAGTGATCCGGACGTGCTGTGCAGCCACCTGGCTCGCGAGAGGCTCACACGGCAGCATCAGCAGCAAGCAAAGGCAGCCAAGGGCAAGTTGAGAGACAGTGGGATGGAGTGGGTGGTGCATCAGGATCACTTGCCTCCTCTCTGTGGTTCTGCCTCTGCCTGCTGCCAGTGCCACTGTGTAAGTCTTCCACGAGCCAGGCAGCCACACAGCGTGTCCGGATAGCTTGCCTCCCCCCATGCCTCTGCCCCTGTCTGCTGCCAGTGCTGCTGAGTGAGCCTCCCATGAGCCTTCTGTGAGCCAGGCGGCTGCGCAGCGGATCTGGATCACCTGCCTCCGCCCTGCCTCTGCCTCTGTGCTAGGACTTACCTGGGCTACGCAGGCTGCGGCACTTGCCGGATACCATCGGCCCCCACGAACTTTCCACCTCCTGTGCTGGACATGCCCCCATGCTGGGCTTATTTTGGGGGTAGGGCTTATATTAGGAGCACACCAAAAAATCAGACTAGGCTTTATTTTTGGGAATCATGGTAAATAGCCTCTGTTCCTCAGAGGGGGAAGGGCCTTCCACAAAGGACAAGAGAGAAGGCAAAAGCCAGAGGGATCTGCTGGTTAGTGTTAGCCCTGCCTGGAGTAAATCTAGAACTTTTTAGGACAGTGATGGCGAACCTTTTAGAGACCGAGTGCCCAAAAACTGGCCCCGCCCCTGCTCCGCCCCCCCCCGTCCCTCGCTCTACCTGCCCGCAGGGTCACTCACTGCCTCCAGGGGTGACTCCTCCAGGGGGGCTGCTGGTGAGGAAGGAGTCACGGGGGGAGATGAGGCTGGGGCAACAGCACGTGTTCCCCCAGAGAGGGCTCTGAGTGCCACCTCTGGCACGCGTGCCATAGGTTCGCCACCACTGTTTTAGGAACTCAACTCAGGAGGCATCCTGTGAGCCATGGCCAGCACACCTGAGCAAAAGGTTGCTTGGCCACCTGAATTCGGAACCACTTGTGGGAACAGCTGCTGGAAAAGGCTCCCAGACATTGGCCCCTGCTCCTGCCAACTCTCCCACAAAGCTTGCCCCTGCAGCTAGGCAATCCACAGAGCTTGCTGGGATCAAAGCCCAGAGACCCCTCAGCCAGAATTTACCTCAGACCACTCAGACATTTCCCACTGTGGCCCGCAGGTTGGGTTCTTGCAGACTTTCTGCTCTTCTGGCCGAGTGATGTCGGCCGATTCGCACAGGTTGCTGTAAACAGAGCTGTCCAGGCCTGGTGAGAGCATCTTCCAGCAGCGAACAATGCGGAACTGATGACCTTCTCCACAGGTCCTGGAACACTCGCTCCAGCTGCTGGTCTCCCACCTGTCCAAAGCAAGGTGGTGTTTCAGGATGAGGAACAGTGGGGGAGGACAGCTAGGCCAGGCCCTCCAGGGATGACCAGGACTGTGATCAGGTTTGGTTTTGCTATTCTTCATCTCCCAAAAGGGACGGCAGCACCTTGGCCCCTTTAAGTGAGGTTGGCTCAAAATGACATTTCAATCAAAAGGTGTTTTTAAAAAATATCCAGGACCTCCAGCTTCAGAGAATGTTGGCAGTATTCAGATTTGCCTGCTTCTGTTGCAAAGTGTAGAGATTTGGTATCAGTTGCCAAAGCTGCCTTTTGACCAGACTCCATGCCCAGACTCACTCTCCATCCTCTCAGAGGCAACCCAGTAGAGGTTTCTGAGGGCTACCTCTGTGGTCTCTCATTGGGTCCCCAATGTCGTATTTTATTTGGGACAGGGTCTCTTTCAGTGGCAGACCCAGACAAGACAGCTTCCTGCTTTAAACTGGCAACCTGCTCCAAGGAGCCTGGCTCCTCTGGAATGGGTGACCCCGAAGACTAAGAGGTTACTGGATTTGGATAGCACTATACCGTAGTCTATGGCAGTGTTTCCCAAACTTGACAATTTTAAGGCATGTGGACTTCAACTCCCAGAATTCCACAGCCAGCATTGCTGGCTGTTGAATTCTGGGAGTTGAAGTCCACATGCCTTAAAATTGTCAAGTTTGGGAAACACTGGCCTATGGTATGAGAAAGCTAAAATACAGGCAGATTTCAAGAATCATTTTGTAAGATTGTGCAAATTTATAGAGTTTGGACTAAATGCAAAGGGTTTTTTTGGGGGGGGGGGGGTGTTGCCCAAGAAGCCTTTTTTTAGAAAGGAGATTCCAGTGAGTCACAAAAGAAGACTTGGAAGTAAAAGGTCATACAGTCATTAGTTTACCTGTCCACAATTGAAAGAAAGGTTTATTTTGGATAGACAAATTGTGCTTTTGAAGATACTAAAAATGAATTGAAATGAATATCTTATAGCTAAAGTTTAAAAAATGCTATTATAGTTAAATATCTATGGAGATTCTATAATTAAACCTAAAAAGCAAATATGTTAAACATTATATGATTCAATAGGCAAGAAAATTTGGTTATAATATGATGTTAGAGCAATGGGAAAATATATGAACTAAAGGACTGAAATTCACACTGAATTATTACCTTAAATAGAATTTTCATAAAATGATGTATGACTGGTATTTAATGCCAGATAAGTTACCAAAGAAGCATAAGGTTGTTTCAAATGTTCCTTGGAAATGGAAGTGTAGTGGATATGTGATAAGGCAAAGAAATATTGGAAACAGATTCATGTTTTAATTCAGAAGATTTTAAAAATAGATTTACAATGGAAACTTTTATTCCAATACTATTAGATAAAAAAGGAACTTTGTTGCTATACATATTGGCAGCTGCAAGAATTCTATATGTGCAGAAATGGAAAGAAGCCTTAATCCCCATAATGGAGGAATGGATTGAAAAGATGATGGAACTGGTGGAGATGGCGAAGTTGACTGCACTAATGAGGGACCAAGAATGTAAATAGTTTTATGGTTACTTGGAAACCACTTTGGACTTTCTGCGTGAAAGATAGATTACTGTTATAAAGATGGTTAATAGTTACTGTTATGTCTGGTGTTCTGTGAGGCATCAACGAGGCAACAAGTAAACAAACATCTCTTTATTAAAGGTTTAAACCAGTGGTTCTCAACCTTTTTAATGCCGCGACCCCCAACCAGTCGTAAGTTGAGGACTACTCAACTGGTGCAGCACCGTTTGCAGAATGGGACTTTTGGCGGGCTCAGCAGGGCAGAGACAGCCTGGACAATTCTTATTGGCTTTTGAAAGCCAATAGAATTAGACTCTATTCAAGAGAGTCTATTCTATTGGCTTTCAAAAGCCAATAGAATAAAAGGGAGTAGCACAGCTAAGGAAAGGGGGGAAAAAATGGCTGACTGCGTTGTTTGGCGATCCCCGTGAAATGGTCATTCGACCCCAAATGGGGTCCCGACCCACAGGTTGAGAACCACTGGTTTAAACAGAAGCCTGAATAACTGCAGCTTCACCCCTATTTATACACTCAACCACTAGATGGCAGCCAATAGGATTCAAGTATTAGTTCCTGCTTTAACACAAGATAATTAGCATGTAGACAGCAAGTCTGGCTCTTAACTGAGAGAGTCTTATGACCGTTTTTTCAACAATTCCAAGTAATTCACCTCAATACTTTCCCCTAGATAGTTCATAAGGTCATATGTTGAACATGGTCTCTTAAATACGTTGGTGGCCTTTTTGCCCATTCTGAACGCCTCGAAACTGTTGGAGTCGCCTGGTCTGTCAGCTCACCTGCCAGGCTTGGAAGACCAGGGTATGGGACCCATCTATCACAGGTAGACTCAAGTCTCTGTGGCTGGGCTGTCCTGGTAGGCCCAAGCCAGTGTCCACAGGTGGAACAGAGTTCACCAATCCTGAAAATGGAGCAGTCAGCTGGCATTGTCCATTGGTTGTGGTATCAGTGGTTGGGACTGACTCACCAGACGCTTGAGTCTCGTCCCTTAGTCGGAGAGCTCCACCGTCACTAGTCTGATGCACTACTGCCATCGTGCTGCTCCTGAGTTTGACTGTCACTAGAGTCATGAGTTATTGGCTGGTTTGCTAACCTTTGCCGCAGTTGGTCAATGTGCACACGACCATCTTCCAGGACCACCGTAAGAAAGTGGTCCAGTCACCTTGCAAACCACAGCTACCACCCACAGTGCCCCTTGCCCAGACCAGGTTGCCAACTTGCAAGTACCGTGGTGCCTTTGGCTGTGTTGCTTGTGAGGCAACTCTATCTGGATGTAGGCGATCCAGCTTTGTGATCAAACGCCGGCCCAATCTTAATTCTTCTGGGCTTCTGCCCATAGAAGTGCATGGGGTTGTACGTTGGCAGAGTAGAAAATCTGCCAGTCTGTGTTGCCAGTTACCTGAGACTATCTGCTTTAAGGATTCCTTCATTGTTCGAACCATGCGCTTCACTTGGCCGTTTGAAGCCGGGTGAAAAGGGGCTGATGTGGCTTGTCTGATCATATTTGCCTTTAAAAAGGATTGAAATTCTGAAGCAGTAAACTTGGCCCCATTGTCAGAAACTATCACACCGGGTAATCCATGTGTGGCAAAAATCCTGCACAGTTCTTGTATGGTCCTGGCAGCAGTCATGGTGGGGAGAGGTGCGACCTCTAACCACTTGGAGTGACTGTCCACCACAATGAGGAAGAGGTGTCCCTAGAAAGGCCCTGCATAATTGATGTGGATCCTGAACCAGGGGGCGTGTGTGGTTTCCCATTGGTGGACAGGGGCATGGGGCATCTCTGGCCTAGATTGCTGGCAAATATGGCAGCTGTGTACCCGAGCCTCAGTATCTTTGTCCAGCCCAGGCCATCAAAGGTAGTTTCGCGCGAGTGCCTTCATCCAGACTATTCCCAGATGTCCCTCATGCAGAGACTCCAAGATTCTAGTCAGTGAGTTCGGGACTACCACCTGACTACCCCACAAGATGTGCCCCTGTGGGCTGACAACTTGTCCTTCCTCCTGCTGAAACTCTGAAAATTAGGACCAGGACTATTTTCCGGCCATCCTGTGAGTACCCAGTTCAGCATATAGCTCAGCGTCGTGTCTGAAGCTGTCTCTGCAGCCACGTCCCCTGCGTTAAGGGGAGACACAGGCAGGTCCCGAACAGCTAGGATGCGCATGGCTGGAGCAGGGTTGGGCTCTAACTGCGGCAGGGGCAGTCTGCTAAGGCCGTCTGCGTGGCCCATTTCTCTACCTGGTTTATGAATCAAACTATAATCATACGCTGACAGGAAAATTGACCATCTCAACATCCTAGGGGATGTGATCTGGGGTGTTTGCTTGTTCGTTGTGAACAACCTCGGGAGTGGCTTATGGTCTGTGAAGACCATGAAGGGCCTACTGTATACATAGTCATGAAACTTTTTGATCCCTGCCAAAAAGGGATCTTTATCTATTTTAGCATAATTACGTTCTGCAGAGGACAAGGTCCTCGAGTACTAGGCTATTGGAATTTGCCTTCCGTCAGCCATTAAATGACTCAACACAGCCCCAACCCCATATGGAGATGCATCACAAGCAATGCAGATAGGCAGCTTTTTGTTAAAATGCATCAAAACTGAATTTGAAGACAGCAGTGATTTGACTGCTGAGAAGCTCCTATCGTGGATGCTGGTCCACTTCCACTGTGCATGTTTGTCCAAGAGCCGGTGTAACGGCTCTGCCACTGCGACCTTGTGAGGTAGGAAGGCATGATAAAAATTGAGCAGTCCAAGAAACGCTTGGAGCTCCCCCTTTGATTTTGGACTGGGGCCTGCTGAATTGCTTTGAGCTTGGATTCAGCAGGATGAATGCCTTGGGAACCCGAGGAACTCAGTTGAAGCTACCCCAATCTTACATTTCTCCTGCTTCAGCTTCAGCCCCACTTCGCGGAAGCGCTGATGGACGGCCTTGAGCCGTTCTGTCAATTTTTTGACTGATTCCCCAGCTATGAGGACATCATTGAAATATGGGCATATGCCTGGAATACCCTTAAGTGTGCGCTCTATCACTCCCTGGAAGAGGCCTGGGACAACACTGACCCCCAATTATAGGTGCTTAACCTTGAAAGCTCGTCTGTAACTATGGTTTGAGCTTCTGCCATGGCATCATCCACTGGCAATTGCTGATAGGCTTGAGCCAAATCTAACTTGGCAAAGATGTGACCTCCCTATAGTGATGCCAAAATGTGGCTGACTACAGGCACCAGATATGTGTGTTGTTGGAGTGCTCTATTGATAGTGCACTTGTAATTTGCACATATTTGCACCGCTCCATTGGCCTTAAGTGGCGTAACTATGGGGGTTTCCCATTGACTGCTATCAACTGGCTGCAAGATGCCTTGCTGCACCAGCTTGTCCAGCTCTGCATCGATCTTCTGCTTTAGGGTGAAGGGCATTCTATGTGGCTTGATCCATATTGGAGTTATGGCAGGATCAAGCCGAACAGCTATGGGAGGACCCTTATATTTCCTTAAGTGAGGGCTAAAAACATCAGTAAACTCTTGGCAAACTGCCACTAAGTCCACTGCTTGTGTGCTGTTTATTCCAGTTACATTGATTCCCAATGCATCAAACCAATCAAGCCCCTGAGGCTTGTGCGGTTGCCCTCAACTACTACGACTTCCAGGGGGGCCTCAAATCCCTTGAAGTGCACCCTGAGTGTAGCTTCCCCCTTGACTGTTACTCAGGAGTTTTGGAAATCGGTTAATACGAGGTTCAAAGGCTTGAGCTTTGAACTCTTTTGCTGCTGCAACTGCAAATGTGTTTGAAAGTCCCCTGGAAAATTATGGATAATGCGGACCCCGTATCTAGTTCCATGTTGCATGGAACTCCTTGCAGCTTGACTTTGAGCCACAGTTTTTCCTTAAGAGGGTGATGGGCACCTGTTCTAAGTACGCTCCTCCTAGTGGTGCAATAGCCCACCCTGTGTTGCCCTGGGGCCCCGGTATCTTTCTGGGGAAACTCTTCTGGTGGACTCTCTCTCTGACGACCTGACAGACTGCGGCGATGTAGCCTTGCTTGCCACACACCTGACACGTTGCTGTACAGAAACTGCAGTCCGTGTACTTGTGTTGGCCTCCACACCCCGCACATCGAGAGAAGGGAACTGCCTAGTCAACTGGGCGTTGTGGCCTTTCTGGTGGCCACTATAACTGATCGATCTCTCGATCCAATTCAGAGTCTTCAACCCTCTCAGCGCCCTTCTGGTGGACCGCCTCTGCGCAGGGAACGTTCCTGGAGATCCGTAAGGCCTTGACAGCTCCCCCGGAGGCTTCTTTGGCTGTGATTTCTCTTAGGACATCTTGAAATGAAATAGTCTCTTTGGTGAACAATTTCTGTTGGAGATCCCTGCTTCTTAACCTGCACACTAAGCGGTCTCGCAGCCTCTCTTCAAGATCTTGGAACTCGCAGGGTTGGGCCGCTTGACGAAGGGCAGCAATGAATTCAGCAGCTGATTCACCCGGTCGTTGGTCTCTTCTTTTGAAGGTGTGCCTCCAGGCAATGACTGCTAGCTTCGGCTCAAAGTGTTCTTTAAGCATTCTCTTAAGTTTGGAATAAGTAACAGATTCAAGCAGCGCCGGAGCTATTACATTTTTGATGATCTCGAACATCGCCTGGCCACAAATGCACAGCAGTGCTGTGGCCTTCAAGCTGTCCTCACGAACCTGGTTGACTCTAAAGTAATTCTCAACTCTCGCAATGTATGAGCTCCACCTCTCTGGATGTGCGATGTCGAATTCTGAGAGTTTTCCGAGTTTGGCCGTGGTGAGTTGCTTTCATTGTTTTCGGCCTCGCGATGCCTTGTGCTGCCAAAGCTTCTTCTAATCTCCCAGGGACGATTCCTTGGGAGCGCTCTTCCTCCAGCGTTTTCGTACTGGCAGGAATGGGGGGGAACGTGGTCCCAACCAAGGCATCGTCACTTGGCTTCCCCCTTAGTGATTCAGCTCTTCAAGTTTGGCAGCACATCCCACCTTCGTCACCACTGTTATGTTTGGTGTTCTCTGAGGCATCGACGAGGCAGCAGGTGAACAAACAACTCTTTATTAAAGGTTTAAACAGAAACACACACACACAGAAACCCTTCCTGCTTTCTTGTCCTTTTCCTCCAACTGCACCTGAATGGAGCGGGAGGAGGTTTAAAAAAAGAGAAAAGGGGTGGAATAACGGGGGAAGCTCTTCCTTTTTGTAACACCTCAGTTTCCTCCTCCTCTTCCCCTCCTGGCTCCCTGTCTATCTGTCTGTCTGTCTCTCATACACATACATACATACATACACACATACCCCCTTCCTGCTTTCTCCTTCTTCTCACCCTTTCTCTCCAGCCACCACAGAGTTTCACGTTGCTAGCTGCAGGCAGTTCGAGGCTGCGGCTCTGCATGACTGTTGCGTTCCCCTCTCTGGCCCTACCACGTGGCGGAGAGGGCAACTGGGAGCTGGCCGATGCTCGGCTTGTGCCACCGCACACTCACATCTCCGCGCCTTTCATCCCACAGGCTGGGCATGCCCTGGGGTGCTAGGCTTACAGAACGCCATGGCCCAAGTGAGGAAAGGCGTGGCACAGTGTGGCAAAGCAGAGCCACACAAGAAGCCCGGCAAAGTGGGGCATAGCTGGGCGTGACGGGGTTAAGCTGGGAAGGGCAGGGCAGGCTGAGGCAAATGAGCTGCAGCTGCTGCTGCACACCACCAGCCACTGAGTGCTCACTGTTTTCTGTGCATGGGCCAGGGCGCCCAGTTGGGTTGGGGTGGGCCAGGGCTGGGGCTGGGGCAGCGGGGGCCAGTCCCTTGCCATTTCTGGGACAGCCCCGGGGGGCAAATCTGGGCCCTCCCCAGGCTGGATCCAGCCCGCCGGCCTTTTGTTTGACATGTCTGCCCTAGCTCCTTTCAATGCTTTGCCTCCAACTTTATTGGAATGGCAGTTATTCTCTTTGCAAAGAATTTTCATTCCTAGCCTTTGCAAACAGTTGAATTGCGGCTCATCTGGGCTAGGTTACTAACTTTATTATACATTATCCTTTCAGTAAAGTCTATATGTCAGTTCTCTTGCCCATTTTAACAGTAAAGTAATTTGCCAAAGTCTGCTTTGAAGCCTAGGAGCAAATTTTAAACCTTGGCATTTTTACATTTAATTAATTTAATTTAATTAAATTAATTAATTTAATTTAATTTAATTATTTTTTTAATTTGTTGCATTCATCCATGAGATGGATTACATAAAATTGTGTATAATGTATTAGTAAAATGTATTACTAACAAAAGGATATAATTTGGGAGTTGGGATGGCATTTTATTTTTCTAATTACCTTTGCTTTGCACTCATGGACTATAATAACTCTCCCTCCCTCCCCCCTCCTTTTCATGGTGGCGCTGTGGCTGTCCAGCACCGGAGCCTCCACTGAGACTGCAGAGGGAGAGCCTCTTGCCTTCACGCAGGAAAGTCAGTCTTAGCCACCAACTAGGTTGTGTCCTCCTCCGTGAGTCCTGCCTCTATTGCCAAGAGGTCCCTATAAAGAGCTTCTGCCCTGATTCACTGTTCCTGCCAGTGGCCCATCTCTAGATTCTCACTAGGGTGGCAGGCAGGAAGCCGGCATTCCAGCAGTCCCCTTTCCGTTCACCGAATGGGATGGGCACTATGGCAATATTCCAAGTGCAGAAAGAGTGCTCCTGGGAATATAAGCTACCCAGCTGCCTCTGGGCTTTGGTTCTCCAAGCAGCAGAGAAGACAAACCTGGGCTGGCATTCTCTTCCCGCACAGAACTCATGGATGGGCTCTGGCCGCGTGGCTGCATCACAGAAAGGCTCCTCCACCTCCGTGCCATCGTAGCGGATGCACATGGCATATGTGGACATCACTCCTGCATTCAGAAAGACCAATACAATCAGTCCTTTACTGCCACGACTGTTTGCCTGCACAGATGTTATCCATCGCTGCACTCTCTGAACTGCAGCATCAATAAAAGTCAAGGCACCTTCTGTCTCCTTTTATCACCTGGCATGAATACACTCAGCCCCTCTAATTAAGGCAGTGGTGGAATCTCTCGGAAGCTGTCAAAGTGAAAGCCTTAATAGACTCTGGCTGCACTCATGCCTCATTAGCCTGATGCTAGTGGGGAACTTGGGCATTCCAGTAAGGAGCTGAAACAACCAATCTCATCTGGCCAGTTAAATGGGTCCATCGCAGGGGGGGTGCCAGCTACCCTAGCCACTTTACCAGTCCACCTATCCCTGGGGAACCATGAGAAAGACATAACATTTGTAGTGAATACCTAGTGATCCTAGGGTTGGAATGGTTAAATAAATGGAACCCCTGGGTAAATTGGAGAATGCCAGAAATCAATTTCCCAAAGGGGGACCCTACGGACTTAAATCCCAAAGGAATCCTACCAAAATTGAGAACAGAAAAGGCATCCATGGGAGAAGAAAAGGGGCTACCCAAAATACCAGAGGAATACCGAGACCTTGCTGAAGTTTTCAGTGAGGAGAGTCAGATGAGCTCCCCCCCTCACTGACCCATGGATTGTGCCATAGAATTCAAGCCTGGGGCAAAACTCCTGAAGCCCAGATTATACTCTATGAGTCCTAAGGAGAACCTAGGCCTAGTAACTCCTAGTTACTAGGCCAGCATCTTCACCACTAGGCCAGTTTGCTTCCAGGTCTAATTTATAGTGTTGATTTTGACTTTTAAAGCCCTTCGTGGCATTGGGACCAGGTTTTCTGAGGGACTGCCTCTCCCTAATTACATCAGGCTTGGTAGAGAAGGCTTGCTGTGGGTCCCATCTGCCAAGAGAATTCATGCTATCTGGGGTTCCGGGGGGGGGGGCGAGCCTTCTTTGCCAGAGTCTTGTCCTGCCAAAGTGTTCCCTCGCAACATTCCCTCTCAAGTCTTCCGAGGCCTGTCTATGTTATCCCACTGGGAGTGGTGACTGACTCAGAGGGACGGTACTCGTCTCTGATTCTTGCTACCCAAGAGACATTTCTGTCACTATATGGATCGCATGAATCCACCCCATTATGCAACACTCAGGTCTCAAACCCAGGCTGTGGCTTTCCAGCTGACAAGCCCAGCATCTTAACCACTAAGCTAGGCTACTGCACAGGTAAAGGTAGAGGAGGATGCCATTCCCTCATCCATTAAACCTGCCAAGGATCAAAGCCCCTTAGAAGCAAACAGCCTGCTTTGGTCCACATTGCTCCTGTCAACACTGCCAAACATTGGATGTTCTTGCTTTGACAAAAAATGCAGAGCTGTGTGGTATTTTTAGAGTTAATTTAAATGATGCTGGGAGGAGAAAGAATGTCTGTGGGGATTACTTTAGATAAGAAGCCCTGCTACAGAAATGGAAGGGAACCTTTGCCCTTCAAACTGATTGGAGAATGTGATTTAGAACAGCAAATTAAGGGAAGGAAATATGCTAGCAAAATATGTGCTCAGGGGAGGGAAATTCAGATCTTGGCATTCCTCCATGCTGTGTCGACATTCTGTTATACAATTAAAGACTTTTTAGGATAAACAATGCCTGGAAGTTCTTTGAAGTGTTTCATTAGTCAGAACCTTGACAGCTCCAGCATAGGGAAGAGAGGAAGAGGGAGGGAGGGTATTTGAGACTCCAGCCTGGGCAAAAGCTGAGTTGTTTAAATCTTCTATGGCATGACATGGCGAATGCAGATAGATAGAAGCTGTGTCCTCTCTGGGCCTGCGGATGGCATAGAACAGAAGACCAGCATTAACTAACCCACATTCTATGATGATGGCCACTAACTTGGAGGTTTAAAAGGGGGCTGGTAGAATTAAAGAAAGGGACATCTTCCACAAGCTGTTTGTCTGAAAGACTCCATGGGACTTCTGAGTTAAAGGCTGTTTGTCTTTAAATCGTGGTTGCAAGGAAAGTCAGAAAGAGGGGGGCTTGTTTCCTGCTCCTGAGGCATCTGGTAGTTCCCAGACAACAGTCTGGGTCTTAGCCGGCTCAGGTGGGCTGTTCTTGAGGTTCTTAAGAACAGGAAACAGAAATTCTTCATTGAAAACAATTCTGAGGCTGGGTTTGTACTCTAACCAAATTTATTCACCATTTCTGATCTGTAGAATTATTCACAGACCTCAGTTCTGTCTGAAAACAACGTAAGATAAGGTAAGGTAAGGTAAGGTAAGGTAAGATAAGATAAGGCAGGATAAGGTAACCAGGAAAACAGGTCGTGAAGAGGATGTGTAGCATCCCAGACAATCCTGCAGACCCTGCTCAAGCATCACCATATAATGCCATGTCCTGGATAGAAGGGAGGGAATTGTCAATCATCTTTTCTGCCATCGTCATGAGGGAAGTTAGCCCAGAGAAGGAAATATTAAAAGGGCAGAAAAATATATTTTTCCTCAAAAGGATTTTTAAAACCAGAAACCAATCCTGGCCTCAAATCTCTTTGCCCCAAGCAGGAGACAGCCCTATACAAATGCAGATGTAAAACCATCAGAAAGTTGGAGCCAAAGAACTCAAGAAGACAAAGAGAAAATCTGCATACCCCACCCAAACTCTAGGAGTCATTAGCCCCATCACCAGGGAAGCAGGATATGATACTAGGATTAAACCACAGATATCAAGGCCTAGAAAAACACTCAGAAATAGCCTCAAAGTTCATGCCACAGGAACAGGAAACTATTCCAAACAAAAGGCTAGAGGCGGTATAAAAACCTACTACCCATGTGCTCAGCCTTTCTTCTTTCCTCTGCTCTTTCTTGTAAGAACCATCCTTCTGCCTCTTCAATAAACTGCAATCTTCTTTCCAAAGCAGCCGCCATGTTGCTTATTTATTCCCGGCTTGGATGAATCAGGATGAAGACTTTACTTCAGACACTCACCACTCTCTGCACCGCCTTCCTGTCTGAAGCAGTGATGCTTCCAACCCAGACAGTAATGCAATATGATAGGATGCTCTCGATCGTCCCTCTATGGAAAGTGGTCAGGACAGGGGAAGGAAGATGTGCTTTTCTCATGCAGAAAATGCAGTTACTGCTGTGCACACTTCATCAGTATCTCCCTGTTGAGTGACCATGCTAGCTGCACAACAGAAACTTGAAGCTGCTAACCACCTTCACAGGTGAATCATTACCATACAGAGGTGTGTGGTTGTGCCTGCCTTTTTTGAAATTGACAATGATTTCTTAAATCTAACATCTCTTAAGATAATTGATAAAAACTCACTCAAGCTGCTACAACTTGAGAAAATATTGCCTCTAAGCATGACCCAAGTACTGTTCCTTATACAGTGAATTATTTCAGATCAAGTGGCTGTGTTGGATCCATTTCCAGTATATAGACATGTTCTGGGCCACTGGCCTATATAATGTTATAGATACAATGGATGCTTTGGCTTTTAATAGAAAAATGCAATTGTGTATGTGTACCGCCTTGGGCAATAGGGCCACAAGAACTTTTGCCTGCCTTTGTCCTGTCGCAAGCTCTACGCAGAAGTGGCTGCTTCCATGCTTGGAATCTGCCATGGTGCACCTGCTCTCCTTGAAAGCCTGCGCAACTAAAGGCGAAGGATGAAATCAGCCCCCCCCTTCATGGGGAAAGGCTAGCCTGACCTGCTTCCCTTCCCAAGCAGATTGGCCAAGGGCTCCCCATGCAAGCCCTTCAGGGGCTGCTCACCTGTGGTGCAAGTGGAACTGCAAGGTTCATGGGAGGAGAGCTTCCACCGGTACATGTCGGCTGGGCTCACATTCTGGCCCTTCCGGAAGAGCTTCAGCCGGTTCCTAAAGAACAAGATGCCTCAATGAAGCAGAGAGCTTTTCTGGCACAGCCAATTTCAGAGAGAGAAAGGTTTGGGTCACAAAGTTTGAATTTGGGAAGATACTTCCACATTGTTATGCTTTAAAAAATAGGGTTTTGGATCGTTTGTTTGTAATAAAACCTACCTGTCCTGTTCCCCAAGCAGAATTCCCAGCCCGGTTATTGGCAGAGCTTCCACTGTCTAGAAATAGAGAGAATGGGATAAAAATACCCACAAGCAGAAACAGTTCCATTTATACAAACACATCCCTGTAAGCTGATTTGTCTATTATATGCCAAATACAGTTGATTTCATGCTGTGATGCCACTTCACATAATGATTCCTTTATGATCTATCCCAAAGACATGCTCACTCCCTTCCAGTTGGATGCATGTAATCCTCTTGGTCCAGACCAGCTCTATTATCATTAGAAATAATATCATTAGAAATAACAGAATAACAGAGTTGAAAGGGACCCTGGAGGTCTTCTATACCAACCCCATGCACAAGCAGGAGATCTTATATCATTTCAGGTAAGTGGCTGTCCAGTCTCTTCTTGAAAACCTCCAGGGGTAGAGCACCCACAACTTCTGAAGTTCTGAATAGAGCAGAGGGAGGAGTCCCTCTCTATGCCCATAAAGTATATTGCTGAGAGCTGGAGGATGGTCTGTTTTAACCATTCAACCATTTCTGAGAAAGAACTTTAGCTGAGAAAAGTGCTCATCTTAGGAAGTAAATTCAATTCTGTCCAGTCCCTGAATAAAAATCGGTCATTACACCAAGTGGCTTCATGTCATGAAATGATTTGCCCGTCATGGGAAGTTCTGCTTAAAGGCTCCAGGAGAGATAGCTGGCCTTCAGTCAACTAGCCCTGATCCCTAGCTATGAAGGAGGAGGAGGGGGGAGGGGGAGGAGGAGGCAGAGGCATGCATCAAAAGACAGCCCTGGTGCCTTCAGGGTGCACCTCCTTCCTCTTCCCTTTCTTTAAGGCCCTCTCACTTCACTGGTTTATACATTAGATATGGGAAGGGGTAGCTTGTAGCGCCTTTACACCAGTGGTGTTTTCCCGTGGTATGGCCCTCTCTCTTTCTCCTTTGGGGAAGCTAGTCAATTTCTGGTCGGGATGCTGTAGCACTCTATCAGTCACTGTGCTGAACAGTGTTGATACAGGCACAACACTGTTACTTCACACAAGTGTATCTCCAGCCAGTGGTGAACTTGTTGGTACTTTCTAGTGGAATGGACCAAATGCTCCTTGTCGTCCTGCCTCTTCTGAAAGTTCTGCTCCAAAGGGATGTGAACCTCTGGTTGAAAGGCCAGTGCTGACCACACCCAAGATTTCAAAAGGACAGGAAGCAAACTGGAACAACCTGAAGAAATCCAGGCCTTCCTTGTGACTAGCAAAGCCATAATAAATATACACAGATGTATAAAACTTTGCAGGAGTAAGAGAAGGATATTAAGAAAATATGTACAATCTGCAGAAGAAGAGTGTGCACGTCTACCTGTATGCTTGTAGATCTCTGCTCTCATACTTTGTTTTAAGAAAAATAATAATAGACAGCACAAATTGTGACACAATGAATACATTTTAGGGTGGTATAGATTTTCTGGCTGTGTGTGTGTGCCAGATTGTCCATTCCCACACACACACACACACACACAGACTGGCTGATGGGTGGTTCATCGACTGGAGTCCAAAGGTCCCTGTCCCAAGGCAAGAGGTCCTGCACCTTTTCCACAACTGATAATCACAGCTACCCGCAGAACAGCTTTGCTGCTTGAAAACGGACCCAGGAGTGTGGAGAAGTCCTGTCTCTTAATTGCCCAATCACATTTCTTGACAGCAGAAGCTCTGGAATAATTCCTTCCTTTCAACAATGGGACTGAAGTGTTGTCCCCCCCACCCCCTCACTCCAAAAGTTGCAACTGTGTTTGATTTCTGTTTCAGTCTTCCTTTTCAGGCTTAAATAGCACTGTTGTAATTCCATGCATATCTGCCTTGGAATAAGTCATATGGAAAACTGACATTTACGTTAGAGTAAACATGGACACGATTATTCTGCATGAAGTTTTTCATATCTGGGTCAAAAACATTCCAGAAGACCCCCCCAAAACAGTCAGACTATAAACTGTCTGAGCATAACCCTGACAAGCTTCACTTGATTAACTAAAAACACAATCAGGATTATACAGTCAGTTTCTCCAGTCTGCAAACCGATCAATAGCAAGAAAATCATTTTTTCGATATTGAAAGACCAGTGAAACGAACACATCCTTGCACAATGTAGAGAAGAAGGAACACCCCCCCACCTTCTCCATTTTCATTCTTTATTCCCTGGAGCTAAAATCACTGGGAGAGATCATCTGCTAGGACAAGCTTAAGTCAGTGTGCTGGAGGTAATCAGTTACACCCGTGGCCAACCAAATGATGCTGTTGATATTCTTTTGGTGCCTAGAGGAGGACCTAACCCTAGTACACGGGTCGGCAACCCGTGGCTCCGGAGCCGCATGCGGCTCTTTGAGCCATCCCCTGCAGCTCCGGAGCCTTCCCCTGCCATTTCAGAGAGAGACAAGGAGAGAGAGGCACTTTCTCTCTCTCTCTCTTTCTCTCTCTCATGTGGACTTACCCCCACGCAGAGCTCCTGATTGGCCCTGCGCCTGGGTGCCCCATCCCCTGGGAGAAGGGCGGCCAGGAAGTCCCTTTCCCAGGCTGGCCCCATCTGAGGCGCATGTGGCTGGGGAGCCGTGCAGGGAAGCTCCAAGATCCCCTCTGGGAGCGGCCTGCCGAGCCTCCGCTGAGCGAGCCAGCCCTTCAACAAACCGCGGCCCCAGGGAGAGCAGCCCCTCCGAGGCCCAGCCACTGCGACCGTTGGCCAAGCAGCAGCAGAGCCGGAGACAGAGGGTCAGTGGCGGGGGGAGGGAGGGGAGTCCATGGAGCACTGCTGCGAAGTGGCCGCAGGACAGGTGACGCCCCCCGGCTTACTTGTTCCAGGCAGCAGTCTCAGCTGGGGCATCGCTTCCTGGACCATACCCAGGCCGCTCCCTGGGCAGCCGAGCAGCCACATGTTGCCCTGAGCCGGGCGGCAGTCATGGTTGGTGCGGCGGCCAGCGAGGGCATCGCTCCCCAGGAAGCCGAGCTGGCCACATGTTTCCCCAGGCCGGGCCAGGCGGCAGTCATTGCTGGGGCAGCAGCCGGTGTGGGCATCGCTCCCCGGGAAGCCGAGCCGGCCACATGTCACCCCAGGGTGGGCCGGCCGGCAGTCAGGCAGGAAGCTTGCCTGGCTGCCGCAGGGCTCTCCACCGCCCGGCCCCACCTCGGCCCCATTGGTGACTCCTTCCTCGGCCGCTTTCGGGGAGCTGCTGCCACCGCCGCCCTCAGTGCTGCAGGAGGAGACCTTGGGCTGTGAGGCCGGCGGGGCCAGCGATCGGGACCCACCCTCGTCCCCGCGGCGACACTCCCTGTTGCCGGCGTGGCCACCCATAATGGACCCAGCCTTGGCACCCTCCTCTTGCAACAGCGAAGTGGCTGGGGAAGCGGCAGGGGCCAGGCCGGAGGCGGCGGGGACCCCTACCATGCTGCAGTGGCCGCTGCTGGAGCTGCTGCCGCCGCCACCAAACCTGCTGCCTCCCGTCCTCCCCCTCCCTGCCCATTCAGCTGAGGACGCAGCAGGGGTGGCGGCTGGGAGCTGCTGCCTCTCATCCTGCTCCCCCTTCCCGCCCGTTTGGCTGAGGATGCGGCAGGGGGGCGGCTGAGAGCTGCTGCCTCCCGTCCTGCTCCCCCTCCCCGCCTGCTCAGCTGAGGATGCGGTGGGGGGGTGGCTGGGAGCTGCTGCCGCCTGTCCTGCTCCTCCTCCCCGTCCGTTGGTGCTGTCTGCTTTTTGCTCCCTCTCTCTCTTTATCTGGAGGAGAGGGAGAGAGAGAGAGAGAGAGGAAGGAGAAAGAGAAGAGAAAGAGAGAGAAAGTTAGAGGAAAGAAAGAAAGAAAGAAAGAGGAAAGAGAAAGAGAGGAGAGAGAGAGAAAGAGAAAGAGAGAAAGAGAGAGAGAGGAAAGAGAAAGAGAAAGAGAAGAGAGGAAAGAGAAAGAGAGAGAGGGAGAAGAAAGAGAAAAAGAGGAAAGAGGGAGAGGAAAGAGAGAAAGAAAGAGAGATGGGGAGAGGAAAGAAAAAAAAAGGAAAGAGAAAAAAGATTGAGAAAAGAGAAAGAGAGAGGAAAGAGAGGAAAGTTAGAAGAAAAATAAGAGAAAGGAAAGAGAAAGAAGAAAGAGAAAGAGAGAGGAAAAAAGAGAGGAAAGAGAAAGAGAGGAAAGAGAGAAAGTTAGAGGAAAGAGAGGAAAGAGAAAGAGGAAAGAGAAAGAGAAAAGAGAAAGAGAGAGAGAGGAAGGGGAAAGAGAAAGAGAGGAAAGAGAGAAAGGAAAGAGAGAAAGAAGAAAGAGGGAGAGAGAAAGGGAGAGGAAAGAGAGAGAAAGAAGAAAGAGAGGGGGAGAGGAAAGAGAAAAAAAGAGGAAAGAGAAAAAAGATTGAGAAAAGAGAGAAAGAAGAGAAAGAGAGGAAAGAGGAAAGAAAGAGAGGAAAGAGAGAGAGAGGAAAGTGACAGAGAGAGACCCTTTTGACATCTAAAATGAAGATAACACTGCATATATCCTTTTTTTTTACCTTTATTTTACACACACACATACACACACACACAAACATTAAAGGTAAAAAAGGATATATGCAGTGTTATCTTCATTTTAGATATCAAAAGGGTTTTGCAGCTCCCAGTGTCCAAGTGGCTCTTTGAGTATTTTGGGTTGCCTACCCCTGCCCTAGTAAGACCAAATGGCTTTGGTTTTAAGGCCCCATAGATCTGGAGTTCTTGATTCATTCTTAGTTCTTGATTCAGACCAAGCTTGTGCAGAATTTGGGGTTCCTCTTAGACTCACTGCTCCTGTTCAAGGAACAGATGGCAGTGGTGGGGCAAGAGGGCTTTTGCACAGATTTGTTGTGCATCATTGCAACCTTTAACAGTAGCACTTAGAGTTATATATTGCTCCACAGTGCTTTATGGTATTCTCTGAGTGGTTTAGAAATGTGAGCATATTGCCCACAACAATCTGGGTTCTCATTTTATAGTCCTCGGAAGGATGGAAGACTGAGTCAACCCTGAGTCTGTCAGGATTGAACTCCTGGCAGTGGGCAGAGTTTGCCTGCAATACTGCACTTTAACCACTGCACCATCACGGCTCTTACACCCTTTCTTGAATTGGGAAGACTTGAGGCCTTTGAACTATGGTGCTGGAGAAGACTCCTGGGAGTCCCTTGGACTGCAAGGCGTTCAAACCAGTCAGTCTTAGAAGAGATCAACCCCGACTGTTCTTTAGAAGGCCAGATCCTGTAAGG